GGCACAGAGTGGCTTGGGTTGGGGTGGGGGGCAGCAGCTCGGCACCGTGCCCCAAAACGCAGCAGCTCAGGGCCCAGCTGGGTCACCGAGGTCCCTCCTTGTGCTGAACCTTCAGCCACGGCACCCCTGGCTCCCCCCCCTCCAGCAGCACAGACCCCAGACTCTTCTCCCACCAGATCCCAAAGCAGAGGTCTCTTACCTTCTTCTTCCTCCCTGCTGCTGGCATCCTCCGGGGAGCCCTGGCCACCGGCTTCTTCTCGGGAGTGAAGTCCTGGAGGAAAGCAGAGGGAGGAAGACATGAGGAACAGTGTCACCATGGCTTCTGAAGCTGGTCAGGTTCCCCCAAGCCACCACACCCCCTCAGATGGTGACGTTCCCCCTCCAGCCCTTTCCCCACCACCCTGCCAGCCTCCACCCAAGCGTATCCCCAAATCCTCTCACCTGGTCGCTGGTTTTTTCTGACTCAGAAGACGTTTCGGAGTTCTCCTCTTCTGTCAGGGAGGGGCTGCCCTGATCCAGGTCACTGGAGGACTTCCGAGGCCTTTTTGTCACTGGCATCTGATGTGAGAGAAATGAGAACGTGAGAGGAGCTCACTCCCCACCAACCAGAGCCAAAACCCAACCCTCATGAGAAGGGGCTTGGCCCAGCTCCTCTTCCTGGAAAGGATCTTTGCCCAGTTCTTCCTCACTGTCCCTCAGAAGAGCCATGCAGCTCCTGACTGCACACCACACCAGCCTTTGGCCATCCCACCACCTCCCAGACAACACGAGGCAGCTGTGAGCCCCCCAAACCCAAGCTGAACCCCTTTTCCCACCGGAGAATCCAGAAGGGCTCATTTTCCTCACCACCCCCTCCCACCCCAGCAGGTTTGACCCATTCCAGTGGTCAGGAGGACCCTCCCGTCCCTGCTGCGTGGATGCCCCTCAGCCCACACTCACTTTCATGGGCAGGGGTTTCCTCTTGGGCCCGCTGTGGTCGCTGCCTCGCTCCGAGTCCTCGTCGCTCTCCATCTTCTGGGCGGCCGCGGCGGCCATGGCAGCATCCTCCTCATCCTCACCTCCATCACTGCCTCCCATGGGGTCGTTCTCGGGCACGTCGCTGTCCGAGGAGCTGGCGGGCTACACGGGAGACAGTGGGGAGCAGAGCTCTGTTCCCCCCCCGGCCGGGCCTGCTGCAGGCTGGGGGGCAGAGGGGAGGAGAGGGGGCACCGAGGGGTGATGAGCGATGGACGGCAG